GATGTCTGCGGCCTTCATCCTATTCATAGCTATATTAAAGTTATAATTATTGGAACTTTAGTGCGCATTTTCCAGCAAGAAGCGAGTGGCCACTTGTGACAAGTGGACTGCTGACGGGACAAGGATCTTTCGACAATCATTTGCTTGGATTATGAAAGGATGCAAAGGTGAACGCGCGGGGGTGAAGTGCTTAGATGCAAGATGTGTCACTTTGTGCGAAAATTTGTTCGTCCAAACATTTTCGGAGTCGTTCATAGTTGGGTAAAAGGTAAAATGTAAATTATCGTGTCCGTTCCCGAAGGGAACTTACGAACTTACGAACTTACGAACTTACACCCGTTGGGTGAGAAAATTCATTATTTGAAAATGTAAGCTTTCAAAGACATGTCCGGGCAAACCCGACCAATTGAAGAAATGCCAAGACATTATGCGGGAACGACCATGATCAATGTTCTTATCGCATGGCATGCTAACATTCTATGCTCCGTTTCTCTTTGCCTTCTTTGTTTTATGTGGGATGACGTAAATACACAAGCATCGAAAAAATAGTGCTCTCTCTTGAACAGTGCCCCTTCTGTGATGGATAGTGAAAACAATAATGCCCCTGGGACACTAGTCATATGGGTATGGTAAATGCCAGGTCCCTTAATGTCCATATATTCCTGTCAGTTTGGTGCCTTACTTAATGGTCCTTTCTTAAACTTCAATCTCTAGGGAAAGTCTCTCACTTTACAGTATCTCAAAATAACCTGATCCATGCAAAAAGGTCTCTTTGCGATCTATATAATAACTATTATAATAATTATGTTATGACTTACAAAGTGTTTAATTTGGTTGTGGCTTGAAACAGTCCTGCAGGAAGGTCAACAAGCTGATTATTGCGTATAAGTCTGTGAAAACAAAGCAGAACTCTGCTCAGGCATACCCCATGGTCTGCAGGAAAGTACCCATAGTACCCAAGGACCTTCACATCGTGATATTTTTCAGTATGGAACAACACACCCATGCCCGGGGCAAGGAAGGTCATGTGTAATAGGAACACTTAATAGATGTTAGGAGACTACTGTAATCATTGATCCATGTCACCATATTTATCAACCATAAGTACAGCTGCAGTGATGTCTTCAACTTCATTCTCCATGTCAACTGCGTATGAATATTCAATTTTGCAAATACCAGAACAGTCTCTCCACTTCCGCTAACTGAACGCTCACATAATTTTCCTCCGAGAATACAATTACTCGCCAAAGGCACAAAGGAGGTTTGCAGAGTTGGATGCAACTCCGAGCTTCTTGCTGAATGCAATCAGCGTGATCACTACCTACAGTCCATTTCAAAACTATAGACGCGTAGTGTTTTGCAAAATTCGATGGAATTTATTTAAATATGTTTAGTTTTTTCTCCAGATCCCGTCTCTACATCGCTTCACAACTCTGGCTATATACTTTGTTTTCACTACAATTGAAGTTTATTTTTAGGCCAGGTTTTCCGGTTTTACATGTAATTTCTGTTTTGAAGGGTTTGACCAGTTTGTTTCGGATTTTGCTCCTGCTGAGACAGTGCTGCGCCCAGACCATTGCGGGTGCATTTTTGTACGGATCCTGGTAGCCTCGTGGTTTCGATCCGTGATTTCCAGTACAAGTGCGGGGCATTCGAATCCAATCACTCCTCCTGCCTTTTTGCTCTTCTTTTCTGCATGTTTTGGATCTTGTTGGGTGAAATACAGTAGAGATAATAATTATATTTTCTCTTTTTGATTTGATTTGAGCCTCCCTGTTCCCTTCGCCTGACACAACGAGTGACAGTGGTTTCAATCACACCAGTTGCAATGTGAGTTAGACGACGAGGATTTCGGATACTCAAGCGTCAATCCAAATGCAGCTCTTGTTCGAAGAAACAATAAACACGACTAATCATATCTTTCTCGGCATCACTGAGATTCTTACGGGCCTTGGAAGCCATTACAGTCAGGCACTCAGAAAATGCAAATGAGAAGAAGATTCATTTGAGACTTTCATTCCTTTTGAGACTTTCCTCACATCTTTTCATTTGCGACTTTGGGTGTTTCGCATCTTTTGTGTTTCCCGCGGCGACGAAGAAAAACCTGAAAAACACATCTGAAAACCAGAAAACACTCATGCAAAACTCACGGCTGTCGTGCGCTACAGTATGTACGGCTCGTACGTATGAGTTCACGCGTCTATAGTTTTGAAATGGACTGTAGGAGACTAAAAAGCGTAAACTTTTAGGCCCTCTGCAGACTACATACATCGAACATCCAGTACAAAATCATATAAAACCTAAAAGGCAACATTCTTCCAAGCCTGCAGTCAGACTGCACATTTTACATGCAATATACAGGCAACCTTTCACTGTCACACAATGCAGGATGCACTGTTGTTCTGGGCGGGAGACACCAAAAAGTTAGGATGCCAGTTTCCAATGAATGGACTTTAGTAGCAGAGCAAAGTTCAGGTCCAACAATAACATTCTGACATTTTCCACAAGTAATCTTTCCTGCCCTTCCCTCAGGTGATATACAGACAAAAAGAAACAGGACAGAATTCAGGCTGCCTGAGTCGGGTTGCTCTTTTCTCTGTGAAACTCAACACAGACAGTCTAAGAGTGAAGTGAGTTGCCAGTATCATTCAACCCAAGTATTGATTGATGGGAGAAGAATACATTTTCCAACACCGTAGATGGAAGTCATTATTGTAGCTCAGCTGGTTAGAGCATCGCTCGTGAAATCCCCTTACAAGTTTGTATTGCTGGTGATGTTTGTGCCTGGAGAGCTCTATATATTATAAGTTGTGCTCACCAGGCTCAACTTAGCCTAGTAAAGCTCAACTGATGAGGGGTGAATTCCTTGAAACTATGTGTATTGAGCAGGGAGTGGTGCTGTCTTGCAGGTTAGCCGAGTGGAAGGCTTGAAGTACGTCTCTTGTGGTCTGCGTGGCAGTCGTGAATCAGCCAACTATCAATTCAAGTGGAACCAAACACGAGCTCCAGTTTGGGGAGCAACACTTTGGGATTACACTGAAGAGAGCATGTCTGAGAAAACCAGACCATATGTGCAACTCGATCTCTCAGATTTCGCTCAAATTTTGCAAGTAGGTTGGCTTTGGGTTGTAGCTCGACATTCCTAAGCCCGCGCAAAATCGTTTGAAGGGGACCCTGAAATTGGCAGACCCCCACAATATTGGCCCAATATTGGCACGATTTCTGGGTCTACAAACGAGCCACAACACTTTTAACAAGTTTTGCTACGAACAAAGCTTGTTCGTAGCAAAACTTGTTCAAAGTGTTGCTGCCCCAATAACTCTTCTAAGGTGAGGTAATGTTGGCTTGATGGAGTTTTGTTCGTAGCTTGTTATTGTACGCAAAAGATTTTGCGCAGGCTTTGGAATGTCGATCTACAATCCAAAGCAAACCTACCTGCAAAATCTGAGCGAAATCTGAGAGACCGACTTGCACATATGTACACATAAACCCGAACATGTGTGCTCTCTTAAGAGAGCATGTCTGAAAAAACCAGAACTTAATAAAATAATTATGTGCAAGTCGATCTCTCAGATTTCGCTCGAATTTTCTAATTACAGGTCCTCCCCCATTATAACGAGTCCGTTTAGTACAAAATAACCCGTTAGTAGATACAAATCTGAATTCCCCTGGCGAAACATGGTCTATACCACTGTTTACAGGTCCGGATATAACATGACGAGTCTTTGTGCTGGCCCCGGGAAGCATCTCCCTCATTATAACATAACTTGTCCAATGGAGAAATGGAGAAATAAGAAGTTAGATTGAAGAACAAAGGGAAGGTCTTCGTGCAGCGTCCTAACATCAAATACCCAAAACATTTTCACCAATCTGTATAGGTTACTCAAATGAACAACATTGACAGCTAATTCATTCTAGGGTACACCGTATGCACTCAACAACAGTACGCTACCTGCACACTCCGCGTGGGCGCGGAAGAGGAAATAGTGTTGTAAGATAAGTTCTTTCCATTGAGGTTTTGTTAGTTGTCATCTGAGATACGACAATTGTACGTCCGTCCAAATACGGTCCAGTGAACACGCGGAAACAAAAAGGTGTGCGTAATAATTCAACGAAGCTTGGCGAAAAGGCTGCTGCTGAACGCACCAAAACATACTTTGCTCACCTCAAATAAACGTCTAAGTGACGGAGTCGAGTGCAAACAGAGATCGAGTGAACCAAGCTGCACTTCAAACTGACAAGGACAAGTTGTCCTAGCTCTAGGCGCTATGCGGCATGAGGCTTGTGAGTGTGACACACCTCTGACCTGCACCTGTGATCTACCATGTGTACGGTGGATCCCTGAAAGGGGCCATGAAAAACCAGTGGATAGTGCATAGGTTACGGATCGGGACGAGCATGAGTCCATGTACGCAGCACTGTACCCGCGCTGGGTAGACTCCCGCGACACAACATGAATCGATCGTGGATTTTGTTCGTCAAGCAAGGCGAGTATCAGTCCGATCAGGGGGTCTTGAACTAGAAAAGACTGATCCGGGTTGTGTTTTTGTGTTGGTCTGTAGCTTTGGATCCATGAAGGAAGCCATAAAATGGTTCTCAATCAAGACACAGATCATCAAACTGCATCATAAAGATGTAGTGGGGATGTACGTCGGTCCATCCCGCGTTTCTTACAAATACGAGAACACTATCCATTTAGGTGAATGGGGCAGCTGCGCTGGCATCCACGGCCTTCTTCAGGCACCTTTGCCTGCTTACATCTCATCCTTCGGGAGGTAGCTATTCGTCGTTGATGGGTTACTCTCGCTGTCGAGTGTCTTTCGCGCTGCTACGTTCCGCTGTGTTGTGTGTCAGGGGTGCTCGGTCGGCCCGTCACCGTCCAGTTCACATGCTTCGTGAGTTGGCGATGGTGGAGGGTCGGGTTCACCTGCCGTCATTGGTGCTGCACCGAGCTTGTTTTGTGAGAAAGTGTAACTGTTATTATTATTAGAGGAAACGCAAAAAGGTAACAAGATTACGTAACCGAAGGCGAGAAGGCACTAAACGAAGTGTCAACCTACGAATACAACTTCAGTGCAACAACGTGCTCCTTCTGCTTACCCAAAACAGGCTTATGAATACGTATACAAACTACCTCAAGGACTTTTCAACTGTTGGACATAACGCGCACGACACAGTACAGAAAAAACCACCCCTGTGCCAGTGGTACAGACAGAGCCAACACGAAATGCGGTACCGTGTGAGGGGGCTAGGCTGCCCAAGTTACCAACTCCAGCAGCACCACCGTTGTCCTCGCCACCACCAGAACCGCCACCGGGTCTTCTTGTGGCGGGGGCTGCGGCGGACCCACCTACACCCGCGCTGGCATCACCAACTCTCACACGAATTTCCACGGCACCCACATTAATCCAGAGACCTCGGAGGGCAACAGAAAACTACTCCACAGATATTTATGGCAGAAACGGCCAAGGACCGCGCGTTGTGGACAATACCAACAGAAGGAAGGTCGAGCAGGATCATGAGTCAGTGAGTGAAGCGGATCTGGAGGAACAACTCCGCTCACGGGACGAGCAGCTAGCAAATGCGAGACAAGTGGTCTGAACCGAAACGGAGGATGAGACAGGTGATCAGAGGATGGAAGAGCAATTGGATGACGAAACGGTTGGTGAGGAGACAGAGGACGAGGCTGTTCAGCGACACGATCCCCTTCACGAAACGACTCGCGATCGTTCCCCAAGCTTTCTGCAAACAACAAGAATTGCGTCCGCAGCGACAGGACGAAAGTCTCTAGCAAACTGAAGTCCTGTTACCACGAAGACAGGGAAGTTTCAGCAAGCACTTTCTTATGTTTCAAGTGTTGTAGCCCACCGGTCGACTGGCAGATCTATCA